GCTTTTCAGCAGCAACCTTGAAAAGCAATTTTCCTTGTTTTCTACATTTTCAATTTCTTAGCACCAGAATTATTTCCAGAGTTTTTTTATTCTTGAAAGCTATACTGGAAATATTTTTATGATTGACTTGTTGTATGCTGTCTTACATCTTACCGTTGACCATGAAGAACTGAGAAGTTTGTTCTGTGTAAATTATGTGAAACTTTATGCAATTATTCATAGTTTTGCTGAGCCATGCATCATCATTTCTCTTCTCCTTGTGGAAAGCAAAGGACTCTTTTTTCTCTTTGTAGGAGGTTCATCTTGAATTATTGATGGAATAATATTGTCACAGTCACAGTTAAGATACTGTGGTAGGTTAACCTCCGCAGGACACCAGGTGCCCACCAAGCTGCTTTATCACTCCCCTCCTCAGCTGGACAGGGAGGGGAGAAAAATAAGCACTCTGGCTCTTCTGCACTGTAGCTTGGGCTAGTAGACCTTGGATATTGCATTCCACAGTAAGCAGAAGGGATAAAAATAGGAATCAACAAGTTAATAGTGTCAGGTATATAGAATAGCATACAGGTGCACTGAAAATATGTTCTAATCCATCTGTCTTTGCATTTCTGTAGCAGTTGAAGTAATTTCTGTATGAAGTGTAGAATGAATTCATGATCTGTTGGTACTGAATTTAAGATGCTGAATAAAAACTATTGTTGTTTGAGATCAGAAGTGTACACATTTATTTCAAGAAAGTGGTTTGAAAAAAATGAATCAACCTGCAGCAAACATAGTGCAAATACATTCAGTCAATAATTGCTTGGGGAGGGTGACCACTTGAAATATTTCTGTCATTCCCACTTCTTTGCCTCTAACTGAAGTCCTTCTTTACTGGTGAAGTAGTTGTCTGTGTTGGGATTTGATGCAATCTCCTCTCTTGGTTTCTTTGTGATTTGATTTAGTTTGTTTTCTTTGAGGGATTCTTCAGTCTTCTGAAGCTTTGGACAGTCACTGTCTTAAGCTAACGTCAAGGCTGTTACTCCTTGTTGTGTTATGTGACCCAAAGCCTCCTCCAGCAGCCCAGTGTGTGCTAGCTGTCTGCTGCAATGAAAACTTCTGCCTGGCATCCTCCTCTATTTATAGGCTGCTGACCCTAGATTAACATTTCCAGAAAACTCTAGAATGGACTCTACTGAGAAGGTCTAGACTCTGCTGGAACAACTTTCTTTGCTGTCTTACTTCAGCTGATATATTTCTCATTGAAGTATGCAGTTAAGTATAATGCCAGCCATATACTGGAAGAGTTAGCTCATTAAACAGTCCCTAAAAAGCACTTTCAGAATTTTTTCCATATGTGCAATATTTACCTGGATGATAAATGCAAAATAAAAAAGCAGAGATTAAGAAGAATACTTTTTTAATGTTAAATACGAAGCCACAGTATTGACTTTTTGCAGATATGCAAGTCAGTGCATTCTTGCGATGATAGCACAATACAAGAACCTTGTTTAATCAGTTGTTTTTCAGACTGTTTTTTGAGTGTGAATTCTGTGCTGGAAACAAGGCTTAATCACAGGTACATTTCTCAGTGTTGCTGTGTAAAGCATTGAATGATTGATTTATTGAAATAATGAATGAGGAGATGTCCCTGAAAATAGCACGTGGGAGGGTCAGACCAAAGCATTTCAGCTTCCTTTTATGCCCCCTTCTGTGCATAATGCATAAACAGTTACTTTTAATGATTTTTGGACTACTGGTCATAAGAAAAGTAAATTCAATTTGAAACAAGGAAATAGAGCAAGTAAATGCTATCCACATTTTTGCCTAGAGCTTTTTTGTTACTTCTGTTTTCAATTGCATATTCTTTACATAGCATCATTTGCCAGCCCATCTTACTCTACAGCTTTTTTTGAAAGGGCCATAGTATGATTTTCATTTTTATAGCTACATTCAAGAAGATAACGTCATGAACGTATTTGACATCTTTTCACATCTCTGTAGGAACGGCCATTTAAATAAGACTGTGATTAAAGTGACTCTGTTTTTTTAATTTAATTCTTTTTTCCAACTTAGTGATTTTTCAACGAGCAGTAAACAAAACAGTTGAACGATGCATTATTTTCTTCCATAAGCAATAAGAGATGGATGTTTGCCCAGAGAAAAGCTGGACCAGAGTAAGACATCACAGCCCTTTTAGTGTTGGTAATTAATTGCCATTCTGTCAGCAGTTGCCTCTGTTGGCAAGAAGCTTTGTGAGAGCACTCCCTGCTCTGCTCAAGCAAAATTAGCTGTGTTTGCTTAAGCAATTTCAATAGATGTCTTGAGTTAGTATGGAGCAGAGTGTACTGGGGAGCATTCACGTGAGCCATGCAGCTGGCGGGGCTGTTGCGGAAGGTGTTTTCAGCCAGCAGCAATACACACAGCCAAGAGCAGTAACATTTCATCCAATCCATCAGCCTCCTTGGATTCCAAGCTTGCACCAACACGTGCATTCTCTTTGTGTGTACCAGCCCGGAGGAGACCATGTGGAGAACAGTGGGGGTCCAAGCACTTCCTTAGTCACAGTAAGACACCCCTGCACACTTGCTTCCAAGGCACTAGGTGCTAGGACAGAGGTGGTTTGGGGACTGGAGTTTTCTTCTGTCTTTCCAGACTGAGGCTTCTACACTTTGTGTAAATGAGTATTCACTGTGCCAGTGATTGGTAAGAGCCAGTGGGTATTGCTGAGTGCAACAGCTTTAAAAGAGAAATTGACCTTCTTGGAGCTTGCCATACAAAGTTCCAGTCTTCCACAATGTGTGGGGGAGGGCATGACCCTGGCTTCCCTTAACAACCCTAGCCCTGGGTTCACAGAGGCTTCCGCCTCCAATTCAAGACTAAGTTCAGCAGAAAAGCTTGGAAATTTTTAAGAAATTAAACATCAGAAGGGGTGAAGGTGGGCGAGGTGAGTGAGTTTGACAGCGTTAGCAAAACTTAGCAATGAGCAAGAACTCTGCATAAACCCACAATGTCAGAAAAACAGGAACCTGTGTAAAACTGTGGCAGCTCTGCTAGGTAGTGAAGGGTTCTTGACTGGGCGAGACTCTGAGCAATCAAATGTGATTAAAAATTGCCCCTATTTTCACAGGAGGCCTCGACCGGATGACCACCAAGGTCCCTTTCCAGCCTCAATTACACTGTGCCTCTGTGATTCTTGCTGTATCTAGATGTTAGTTCAGACACTATGTAAACATAGGTTTATCCCAGTCGGTGTGTTCCGATTCTGCTTCTTTGTGTAATTGTAGTGGTGAATACTAAGAGTCACAAGGTAGCAGTCACAATTGGTAGCAGTCACAAGGAATCTAAATAGCTTTATTTTTGTGTAATTGAAGCAAATTGAGAAAATTATCAAAGACTTCAATAATGCTTAGTGCCATATAAAACTGAGCAAACTGCTATTACTTTTTGCCATGAGCAGTAGTATTTCTCTTGGGACGATTCCAGCGAATAAGATAGTTCTTCAGGGTGGGGGGTGGGGTGTTGTGTTACCAAGCTATATCCTCATTCCCCTTACCCCTCCCAAGAATTTGATGTAATCTCAGTTCTCTCCATTTATAAACCTGAAATGTGATAATGTCTAATCACAGTTTTCCAGTAGAAGAAACTAGACTCATCGTGTATGTTACAGAGGGGAAGTTCATGCCCTATGACTCAGAAAGGAGAAGTTGATAGAGATGTATTTAATCTTGGCTTTCTTTTGACTTCTCTCTGCACTCAGTAATCTACCTTTTGAGCCTACTAGTAGTTCAGAATCTGAAACTACTGGCATCACAGTGGCTTCACTAGCTAGACTACATTGGTGCTGGAGGGCACCAACCTTGACTTCTTGAGATGGTTTTTTATCTAAGAAATAAAAATTGTCCTGGAGAATGCCTGCCCCCTGTCTAAGGGCTACTTCTCCAAGAAAGTTAGATGAAGACCTAAACGTTTTCGTTGCAGAATTAGGTAGCCTTTTGTTCAAAGTAGTTTTTGGGCAAGATTTGTTAGTTACTGTAGGTAGATAGTGTAGCTCTGTTGAAGACTGTCTGCTAAGATTGACGGGCTCATATCTTTTGGAAAAAAATGAGTTATTAGGTTTTAAATAGTATTGTAAATATTTTAACAGTTTGTTATTAAACAAAAAGGTTTTGGTGCACACATCCATGCAGACATGCAGTGTGAGAATTCTCCAATATTTTGGTCTGTAATTTGAGATGTACCTGAACAAAGACTTTTCTGTGTAGGCTCTAGCTGCATGGATTTTATTTCTTTGGTGCAGAAGCTATTTTTTGACAACTATTTTTCTGTGAATGGCAGGATGTTAACATCTCCTCGATAAAAAATAAAATAAAAAGGGCATACCACTGCCAAGTATCTTAACTTATCCGAGGGCAGATGGAGAGTGTTTGCTCTTTGCTAATAAAGAGGAACTGTGCAAATCCAAATTGTGCCATTAGCTGATGGCTTTGTGGCTGAGAGATGAGATCCGAAACTAGAGGAAGTAAGAAGTTGGCAGTAGTACATTGGTGGCTGAGTATCTGCTATTACACTCTTGATGCCTAGTCAGAAATTGAGACTGTGAAATGTTAATTGGCTTGCCAGGAAGTGGGTGAGCATTGCGGCTTAGTTTCTTAAGATGGTGCAACATTAAAAAGTGTCAGATGGAGAGGTTAGTTAGACAGATCTGTGTCTGAAATGGTAATTCAGCTTCTTTAATAAAATTTTCAATAATTAGTAAGTATAAGTTTTATTTAATGTGTTTTTCAGTCTGCAACATATTAATTGTATTGTTTGCAAGAAGTCATAGCAACCATTTTTATGCTAAAGAATTTGTTAAGGAATGTTATGCTAACTTCATAAGAACACCTTCACCATTTTAGTCAACGTAAGTCACCCAGAACTAGGGGTATATTTCAAATGCAGCTATTGATGCAAAGAAGTAATAGTATCTTGAATTTGTTGAAATTAATTCTGTGTGTGTTTCTTCTACTTATTTACAGGTGACTGAGCTAGAGTGTGTGAGCAGTCAAGCTAATGCAGTTCACACACATAAAACAGAATTAAACCAGACAATACAGGAGTTAGAGTCTACACTGAAGAAAAAAGAAGAGGTATTTGCTAACGTTTTTTCTTGGCTTTTCTGTTATGTCATTTCTAAAGGCTTCCAATATTCAGCTTGTGATGGCTGGGAAATACTGTATTGTTTCCTGTAGGTGTTAAAGTAAAATTTTTTTCAGCTTCTTTGAAATTATTTATATTTTTGCATGTATATAATTACATCAGGCCAATATAGAGCTGGATATCTGAACAACAAAAAAAAGTATCATGTTTTCCTGTTTGCTTTAACTAAGCATCTCTGTTTGCAGAAGTAAGTCTTAAGTGGTTTCCACAGAGCAGTCATTGCACTGATGCAGTCCAGATTCGCTAAGAAGGGAAGCTGTCATTACGCATGCTCTTCTTTTTCTGGAGAGTAGGGTTTGGAACAAGGATCAATGCCTTTTTCAGGCCAATCTGTATTTCAGGCTATGTTAATATAGCTGACTTTTATGATCCGTAAGATCAGCCCTTTCCTTAAACGCATGCCAAGCCCCCGGCCTGAAACTTGATAATATTTATTATGCCATCTGCCTTGGGCTGGACCAGCAGCATGAACATAAAAGGAATTGGAGTAACGCCTGCACTGTCACAGGTCCTAGAGGAGAGCAAATCTATGCCACAGAATGATTGAGAATCGCCCTTTATTGATGGGAAAAAGGAGGTGGAAAGAATGTGAAAGGTGTACAAAGGATTATTTGCCCTGTGTCAGACTCGATCCCTTGAGCCCTCGCTAACAGGTGCAGTGGGCACTGCTGTGCGTGTTTGGAAGGCAGCATGTCTTGCAGGGTCGTGCCTCCAGCGGGGTGGTTGTTAGGTGTTTCCAAGGAGGATGCAGGAGAGCACAGTCGTGACAGAATATCCTCCCCAAAATGGAACAAAGCCTTTTCCAGACTCCCTCATACTGAAGAGATTAGCCTCAGCTTGGTAATTTTTCCCATTTTGGTGCCCATTCACTTTTGAATTATGCTGAGCTGTTGGCTGCAAAGATGTCTTTCCGAAAGGAGTGCTGGGAGGTGAATATGCACTTCTGGGGAAAAGTACTTAATATTTTTAAGTTTGATACCTTTTAGTTTCATTAACTGTTTCTCTTCTTGTCTTCTGAAAGTAAGCTAAGAAAAGGATTCTCTTCCATTCTTTTTTTTTTCTGTATTTGTGATTTTTATACTTTAGTACTTTCTTCATGCTAAATTAAAGATACGATTTCTTTTAAACTGTCTTTTTACAGAAATCAATGGTCAAAGCAGGCAATTTTTTGATGCTCAGCCCTGCTGCTAGTGCCATAGTAAGCAGCTGACAGATGAAATTTGGATTTTTCTTTTGAAAAAAGAAGGATAGATTCAAATAGAATTTAAAGTATAAAATTGTTTCTCTAATTACAAAGCCCCTTAATTTTGCAGGAAAAAATTATTTCAGTTCCTTTGTGTGGGAGAGGAAAACTTGGACTTTTATAAAAGAAAATGCATATGTGTATTGTTGTTTATTCACAATGGAATTGCTGTTTTGGGACTGTGATTCAGGACTATTGAGAACAGGGCTTAAACTTCATGTGCTGTAATGGGCATTAGCCAACTGCCAGCTTTGGTATCGTTGCAATGGCTTGCTCAGGAGGAGAAGTGGTAGCCAGCTTACCTGCACTGAGGCCAAGCCAGGTAACATGTTTTTAGCAAGGTTGTTTTTTCTCCCTTAGGAAATAGAAGGATTGAAACAAGAAATCGAGAATGCCAGAGAGCTCCAGGCACAGAGGGATTCTCTGACCCAGAAGTTACAGGTGAGCTATAGTGTAGCATCTTAATTTAGAGAGAAGGGAAAAATTATCATCAAGTGACATCATCAGCAGAAACTTGTGCTATATTCACTGAAGATACCAGATAAATATGTAAGTTAGACTGCATTGCAAAGTGGTGGGTTGGGATGGTCCTTAGGAGTTTGTATCAAAACTTCCACCTGCTGTAAGTTGCTATTTTTACCCAACAGACACGAATCTCATTTACAAGTCCACAGAGTACTCTCAGGCTAGCACGTGTCCTTCATCAGTATCTATCCTGGGTAGTTCTGGTCTCATTTTCACTGCAGTGTCTACCCGTGGGTCCTGTGTGCCACTGAAACTGTCAGGCTGTGTATCATCAGGTTGGGATGAGTTTGTATTCAGCTTTTAAACATGCCCTGAGAAAGTAAAGGTTAAGGGGTTCTTGTGTAGTACAGACTTTAAAAACACACTTTGCCATTTTCTTGGAATTATTTAGAATCATTGTGGGTTTGTTGTTTTTTTCTGGGTTGTTTATTTACTGTGCGTAAAACCAGATACCTCAGCCTACTGGACTCGGTGTGCCCTCAGTATACCCTCCCTTGCTACCTCTGAGCTCCTGTCTGTCTGTCGCTGGGCTCACTCTGCCTGCACATACGTACCTTGCTTGTGAAACCTGCCTTTGGAATGAGGCTGACCCAAAGCCTAGGTGGGTTAAACTCTGAATTCAGACTCAGAGTTTTGATAGGACTGGAAACTCAGGCATTAAATAGCTCCAAATATGAAGTGGTAAAAGGTGACCCTTGCTGTGTCTCTACCTAAATTACATTGAAAGCAAGCCCATCAGACTAGCCACAGCTTAAAAATCATTAAGCAGCTATTCTTTGAAATGCATCACCTGAATTGGAACTTCCTTGAATCTCATTTTAACTTACAGAATAAACCACATAAGAACAAAATTAATTTATTCATTTTTCCTCATTCTTAAGTCAAATTATTTGGAAAAAAGCATGTTATTACTCAAAACAATCTTTAAAGATTGTTTTGAATACACTTGAGCTTGCCTGTTCCACTATTGCAAAAATTGGTGCTGGCTTTCGGCTATAAATGGGAGTTTTCAGCTGAAAAGGCACGTATCTGAGAGAACTTAAATGGTTGATTATCTTGAAAGTTGGAAATTGTTCTAGCATTAACATATGCAATAATTTCAGTGTAAGACCATATGAAAAGTAATAGTGAGCCAGGAATTAGCTATCCTTAGCATGCAGAATTATGAAAGACTAATAAGAGATAAAAGATTAGAAAATGCTAAGTTCTTATTAAAATTTGTACTTTATAAAGTCAGTAGCTTCCTTTTGGTATATTAATATCTTTAGTAACCAAGTGGATATATTGTGCGTATATGTCCATACATCACATTGTAGGCAGTTTCTGAAAATAGTTCTATTCAAGTAACTATAAAGCTCACATTAGGATCTGAATTAAAAGTTGCCTTTCTTAAGCCTAAAGATTATTACTCATCTGATGTAGCCCATCTCAAAGATCTCGAGTCTTTGCTTTTCTGTAATCATTCTGCTTTGATTATACTGGCTGCCTTTGAGCCACTTCACCCTACATGTGTGATGCCAGTGAACTGGTGTTTTCTTCTGTAGCTCCAGACGAACCATCTCACATCTGTTCACTTAGTTGACTCATAATCTGTTTTCAGGGTGATTATTCCCAGAGTCCATTATCTGTTTGTCTCAATCTTTTGTCTTCTGCTTTATTTTTCCCCTCTTGTTCTTGCAAATGGATTATGTGACTCTAAAATATTTTGGAATACAGCCTGAATCAAAAATGCTGTTGTCATGGTTTAAGCAGGGTAAATAACCACATAGCTGTTTGCTCACTCCCCTCCCCAAGTGGGGTAGGGGAGACAATTGGAAACAAAAATAAAACTTGTGAGTGGAGATAAAGACAGTTTAATATGACAGAAAAGGAAGATGATAATAATAATAACAATAATAATAACAACAACAACAATAGTAACAACAATAACAATAATAGAAGAATATATAAAAGAAGTGATGCACAGCACAATTTCTCACCACCCACAGACCACCAGTGCCCAGATAGTTCCTGATCTGTGGTCTAAACCCCCAACCAGCTTCCCCCAGGTTATATACTGAGCATGATGTCATATGGTATGGAATACCTCATTGGCCAGTTTGGGTCAGTTGTCCTGGCCATGTCCCCTCCACGCTTCTTATGCACCCCCAGACTCCTCGCTGGTGGGGGAGTGTGAGAAACTGAAAAGTCCCTGACTTAGTGTAAACAGTGCCTAGCAACAACCAAGACATCAATGTGTTATCAATATTGTTCTCATCCTAAATCCAAAACACAGCACTATACGTACTACTAGGAAGAAAATTAACTCTATCCCAGCTGAAACCAGGACAGCTATACAAAGAAATTACTATTTCAAGGTGAATTGCATTTCTGACACACTCATATCAGGGCATGAATTAGAAATCTATCATTGGCAAATCCCATTGAAGAGCAATACATTACCACTGTGAAGGGTAAGTATTGGGGCCCTTGTTACTTCATAATTTCATTAGCAATGTAGCGTAGACATATGTCACTGAGTCATGATCAGTGTGACACAGTAAGTCAGAATATCTTTATTACTATGGCTTATTCCTAAATATAGCTGTTGTGTATGGTTTTAATATTTTATTCTGATCCTTGCACTGAATTCCACAAAAGATTATTACAGTGCAAACAACAAACATAACTTGTTAATAATTTATTTCTTTTCTAAAAGAAAACAATGCATGAGAAATTACTGTGTCTGCTGTAAAAGAGCTTGAAAAAAGTGTAAAATACACCTTGCAAAGGGCTTGAATGTATCATCGGGAGAGTCAGTTTATTTTTAGATGAGACTAACTGCAAATAAAGTGAAATGGCACAACTAGAGGAATAGATTATGTTACATGGATACCTCTCCGCTTCTTCCAGTCTAGAAGCAACAGTTTTGAGGTAGACTGATTTGTAGTAGGAAACTGCACAGGAGCTGGACATGAACTTGTAATGCAATACCATTGCAAAAATCACTAATACTAGTCTAGGGTAAATATGTGTAAGGATAAAATGTAAAATTTGGGAAGAAGCATTTTCCAGAAATTAAAAGCAACAGCTCCTGGCACATTTCTGTTGTTTCTACTTCCCATACATCATTACATATGTTAAGCATAAGCTAGGGAAAATAAAACAGGAGAAAGTGTGGGAGAAAGTATATCTGAGGAAATGTTTGGGAAGCAAATGTATGTGGATTAGGGAAGAGATGTCAGGAATGGAATATTAAAAAAATATACCACCTGGAAGTTTAAACAAAAGAAGGGAGCTCTTCTGATTTGAAGGGATACAGGGCAAGGACTAGCAACGGAGAGTTAGGCTTTTGCTGAATATGGATGGAAGTTCCAACATTTAACACAAAGCCTTCAGTTTTACCTGTGTGCTCCCACTCTTAACAGCTCACAGCAGAACAATTCCTCAGTTTAAGAGCATCTGAGAGGGACCTGAAAAATGATCTCCAGTGCTAGATACAGGCCATTGGGATGCTCTTCAGGCCCAGATATCACAAAATAAAACCATGTATGTATCCATGGATTTGTTCCAAAGTGGTTTCTTTTGCCACTGGCTTGCCTGCTTACATAAATTAACTGTCTGTGGGGTAAAAGCAGTGGCAAGGAGACTTCCTGGAGCACACACATTGGGTGAGTGTAAGAGAAGCAGTGATAGGAGAAGCAGGATGCTTGAGCAAAACATGGAAGAACAGCAGTCAGGTTTGTGTGAGCTAAAGAAAGGACTGTGTCATTCCTGCAGAGCTGAGAAGACGGTGAATTTCCCTCTTTGTCCTGTACTGCAGTCGCTTGGCCTCAGAGGGTCTTGAACCTGTGCAGTCACTACACCAGGAAGTACTTGTCAGTACCCAATTTGGAGGGCAGGAGTAGGGTCCGTGAAGGAGAGCCTTCAGAGGCTATGGCTGGGTTATAATCAGTAAGCTTGTTCATTTGTAGTAGTGGTGGGGTAGCTAATCCCTACATAAGCATGTATGTATTTTAATTTATATTGTTTCTACAAATAGTCTTTTCAGTTAGCTTCCTTTAGTGCTTTGCTATATTGTTCAGCGTTAAACAGATTAAACTAATTCTACTCTTGGTCGTGGCAGTGAGGGGTAATTCCTGCTCTCAGCTGTGCTGTTCAAGACCAGTGCCCAAAACTCTAGTTCTTAACTTGCCCATTTCCAAACAAGAAGTAAGTAAGTGAGGTATTGCAGTTCAGCTTGGACGTGACCCTTGGCTGCACCAGCAGCCACAGTTACAAGGAGATCAGGTTCCCAAGGCTCTGCCTTCTCCACCTGCACCACTGCTGGCAGTACCAGAGCTCTCCCCCCCTGCAGAGGCTGGGAGCCAAAACTGAGTGCTGGCCACATCACCCCATCCCTCCTCTGGCCAGGGATTCAGCGGCCGATTGACACTGCCATCAGACCCCTCACGGGTGGAAACGTGTCTTGGGCCACAGACTTTGACATAAGGCTGCTGTTTTATACCTGTTACTCCTGACTGCCCAAATACATATTCTGTATGGGTCAGGTTGTTTCTTATGGTTACCTGAGATCTCTCCAGTGTAAACATGAATATATTTGTTAGCTTTGAGTGAGACAGAAGGATCATAACAAAACAGTGGGAGAGTGGGAGGGCAGAAAGAGGAGTTGCTCATGGTGGGAGCAGTAATGGCTGCAAATCTCCCTCCCTATGGCTGGGTGAAACTAGCTGTTGTGAAAGCTCAAGAACAGGCCCATTAAAGCTTTGTGACACAAAGCTGCCGTAAAGGGAAGTGGTGTTAAAAAAATAGTAATGTATGCAAATATGAATTCACAATGCACTTTTCCAGAGAACGGCTGCACAGGGTTGTATGGTGTACTAAATACACTGTCCCTGCGCCACCTTTGAAAGTATTTTTCATAACTGAAATGATGAAATTTAGCATGAATTTACCAGACACGCAACAAATGGAGAAAATAACAATATGGTATTCCAGACACACATGACTGCTGCATTAGTAATTTGATAGAAGAGAGGGCACCCGGTTTGCACAAAACTGAGCAGCCGTCACCTCCCTCCCCTGCGAGGCACAAGCCAGAGCTGTGAGGGGTCCCAGCGGGCTGGTGCAAGGGGGCTCCTCTTCCTCGCAAGTGGGAGCTGAGCTTGCTCAGGGTCCGATCCCCTCGGCTGTGTGTAATGTGCTGCCGCTTTGTCTTCCCCCCCCGCCCCGCTGTGTGTGAACAGCTCCTCGTACGGTGCTGGTGGCTCCCACAGCCATGCTACTGTGGGGCCCTGGGGAGCACTGTGCAGCAAGACAAGACATTTGGCTTGCACTTGCTGGTTTAAATTTGTTACAATCAGTGTCACCTTGACATCAGTCTTGCTAGTTTGTTTCTGTCTTAATTTTCAGGGTGAAAAGGCCTATAATGTGGGACAGGAGTAAGGTAGTACTCCTCCATCCATAAAGCAGTATTCTGGATGAGTTTCTGTATAAGACTATTTAACAGGGACTATGTCCTTGTAGACTACTCATGTAGTCTAAGTCAGGGAATACTGAACTTAAGTAAGCCTTTGAGAAGCTGTTTTCAGTAGGTGGCACATCTCTGAATGATAGAAGCAATAACTTACCTGAATAAATATATCACATCTGTCGTTCACTGACTAAATTTTATCCCTCTCCAAAAGTTTCTGTCCTTCAGATGAACTAGTGAAGTAATGGAGGAAGTGGTGGTACATACACAATCGTAATAATAGTTTGGGTTCTGGTTTCGGCTTAGTGGAAACTTTACAGGGTCACAAACTGTTTTAAAAACCAGGTGACAAAATTAGCACATGAATACCAGCAGGACATTAGACTGCTTTCTGTTTGCAGACAACACATTAACATGTTATGTATTTTCTCTGAAGGAAGTAGAAATTCGAAACAAAGACCTGGAAGGCCAGCTGTCTGATCTAGAGCAACGTCTGGAGAAAAGTCAGAATGAGCAAGAAGCTTTTCGCAATAACTTGAAGACACTTTTAGAAATTCTTGATGGAAAAATATTTGAACTAACAGAGTTACGAGATAACTTGGCCAAGCTAATAGAATGCAGCTAAAGAAAACGGGATTTCAGTGCCAATCAGCTTAAAGATGCACTGTCTCTCTTCATAGGACTGTGTTGGGCTCTGCATCAAAGTTGCACAAAATTAGAAAATGCTCCTCTGAGAGGGCTTGTTTTAAATTTGAGTCGTATTTCAATGTAAAATTTAGAACTCAGCTTGTAGCTAGTTGAAGAAAAAAACAACAAACAAAAAAACTTGAATTACAAATTACCTCCTTGTACATTATTGGCCATAGATAAGTTGAAAGATATTAAAAGTAATTGAATGCAACCCTTTTCTAATTATCAGTGATGGAAGAAATAGCAGTGTCCCAGGTCACATCCCCTTTTTGTGATAGACACAATATAGGTTATCTGCTGGTTTATTTATTTAAGATATTTAATTGCTGTGGTTTGTGCAAGAACTTAGTGATGGCAGCCCTGTATTTTGTTGTTCTTAATAATTTCTCAGGATACTTTGCACTGTGGAGAAGCAGTGCCATTACCAATTTATTCTTGCCAGGGGTGAGAGAGAGTTGCATCTTTAATTGAAACAAAGTTACTATAACTGCTTGTATAAAGTTCTTAATTTTGGGTTTTTTTGGTCAGTTGGTTGGTTGTTTTTTGGTTTTTTATATATATATACACACACTGGAAGATACCGTATTTCTTTATGGAGCTTACTCTGGTGTTCTACAGTATTGTCTAATGTAAGGTTTACTTTTTCATATGAATTCCATGTAATTACAGTGAGATACTATCTTCCACATAACTGTTCTGAAGCCAACCAATGATGGAAGGTGAGTCCCCCAGGAAAAAAACAAAACCCCAAAAAACCGCAAAAAAACCCTGAGAATTTTAAATGTAACATTTGACATGCACAGATAATGAGGAATAGTCAGTTGTTTGTTTTCTGGCCTTGATACATATATCGAATATGTATGTCCAATTAACATGTTAACCTGTTCTGCAGGAGACTTTTTCAGAATGTCACATGAATTTCAGGTTTTGTGAATAATGGCTTATGGGGAGCAATGTTTTATTACAGATTATTACAGATTGCATTAAGGGCATAGAGCTGTTGCAAGGGATTACTCGTACACTGAACCTGTCCAACCAAGAAAGCTGTTTCTAGAAGTTTTGTTGTCATAGCAAATTGAAATGGAGACTTGTTTACTCTTTTATGGGTCTTCATATCACATCTTTATTGAAACTATACCAGGCAATATTCTGAACTGTTAACTAAATGTTGAACAACAGGAAATTGAATTCAATTATCCTCAGTGAGCAGGTTTTAAAGTTGTTTTGATGTAATTTTAACAGACTTTTGGCAAACACACATTTCTTTATATAATAGATTTATTTAAAAAAAAAAATAACTCTTTGAAAGGTAAGCCAAGTGTCATGTGTCTTGCATCAAAGTACATTCTTGCCATAAATTGCTTGTAACGTTGAAGAGGGCTTTTTTAAAATGTATGAATGTCAGACTTCAGAGTCGAAAGATGCACGGACCTTTGTCTGCTCCCCAAATTAATTTGAATGTTAAACATGAAATCTAGCTGCTTATTAAATTTGTACAACAGTTTTCTTCACTTAGAGACTGCTATTCAAAACTAGAAAAGATAAGTTTGTTTTCATGTGTGTACTGTGTGTGTATACCATATAATACACACTTTTTATCATTTATATTAGAAATACATGCTTTATTTCTAAACTACCTTATTTTTCCTTACCAGTGATTTATCAGGTCTCCCCTGACTAGTCAGGAAAATGGTTTAGGTCAAATGCTAAACCTTATGTATTATACAGTATGTAATGTACACAATGCTTCAAGTTTTCTCCATATTTTTAGGATATTTTCTCACTTATTTTGTTTATTAAAGGTACGGGGGGCGCTTGGTTCAGCGTGCTGCTGGTTGAAAACTTTGTGGTGACCTACATGTTTTTCATTCGGTGGATTTTAGATGGTGGTGTGTGTATCTTCATCAGGTCCAGATGAGCAGATATGACCAGTTTTTAAATTTACCTGGGGATGTTTGGGCCTGATTCTCCAGTCACTTGAGCTGCTCTAAACCAGATGTGTCTTTGATGTGATGTCAGCAACATTCAGTTGGCATAACATCTGTGGAAGTGCAAGGAGAATCTCGCCTGTAAATGCTCAGTGGACATAATAAGGATGAAGAAAGAATAAAAACACAGAAAGTTGATGATGGAATAAATGTAATATTATTTTTAATGATATTATTATTGACATTTTTAAAGATATGATGTCATTTACATGTGGGAAAATAGTGGACAGAAATATTTCCACTTAAATTTTGTGAATATGTGTGGTACATGAGTATTTCTATGTATACGTACACACACATATGTATATACAGAACATGGAAAAATTTAGATGTGCACATTTTTAATATTTTCCTATTGAAATTAAATTTAAAATTGGAAATTGATATTTGAGAATTTCTTTTCTCATAGAGTAGATATGCTTCATTTCTTTTTTTTTTTTTTTAAATAATACAATTACTGAGGGCTGCACCTTTGAATTCCCAAATAGTTGCCAAACATAGGTATGGGATAAGGTGGAGATACGTGCACATATAAATAAAATCGTATTGTTAAGACTATTTTTAATGTTTATGTACAGTAGGTGAGTGTTTAGAAATTGTGACCTAATGTTCAGACTTAGGTGGCTATACCTACTGTAGCCCCTCCACTTCTGTTTCAAGATAAAAATTTGCCTGTTTGAAACATTACTTTCCCAGAGATGGGTATTACACACTGTATCTATCTTTGATGAAACTATGGGAGTATGTATATGAGAAAACAATGTTGGGTACTAGAGCCTGAAAACATGACTATGAACTTCCACCAAAGGAGGAGAGCAGTCACATCACGTACATCTTGTTATATGGCAACTACAGTCTTGTAAAAAAAAAAAAGGCAAAAAGAATTACCAAAAAAACTAACAGAAATACCCAACAACAAAGCAAAAAAAAGAAAAAATAAAGAAAAATAAAAAATAGGTTTTTTATTTTGAAATACACTTGCTGTTCTGTGGGGAATGTACTTTTACTCTTTATTTTTTTCTTAAATCTTTTTCAAGTATGTGCAAGTGATAGCAGCAGCTACCTTAATCTTTCAGGTGCTACTGGATTTTGCATTAGTGTGTTATGTTGTGAAATCCTGACTTTGGCATAAAAGATTTTTGTAAGTATATCCCCGTCTGGATAGTTAGTTTTGGGAGTGTCTTGTTCATAATCCATATGGCTCAGTGATCCGGAAATTGCATTTTTCTATGTGGACGAAGTAAAATGTGTGAATTAACCTGTCTGTTACAGACTGGGCATTCCTTTTCCTGGCTAATGTATCCAGGAAACAGGAGAACAAAATGAACTGATCATGCAGAAATGCTATTATAAGGTCTCTGAGAAAATACATTTTCAGGTAAAATATCGATAAATAAAGGGCTAAACCAGATGTAACACAAATAAGTATCATTTAATGCTATTGGTGGCATGCCCAGGATAATTCCTTTAAAGAAAATCCTGCAACAATGAACAATGCGTCAATTATTAAAGATTAATATTTTGGAATGTGTCTTTCCAGTTGTCAGTTGTGAAGGGTTTCTGATTTCTACTCATTTTTCTACCAGTTGGGGATTAACTTCAGGTTTACCTTCAATAAGAGGCTAAACCTCAATTCATTGAATCATTTTTTATATTCTATACTGAAGTGGCTACTGAACAGCGCTCTGTGAGCACCACATTTGAAAGTCAAAATTAAAACCTTTTCCTGAAGTACCGCATGGAGAAAGGAATGGAAAACTGTTGCAGACCTTAATTCTCTGCAGAACTGGGGATATCAGTAAAAGCACTTAATTTGTTTGATTGCAGAAATCTTGGATCTTGAGGCCAAAGATAAATCTGATTAGAGATTAGGTCTGGATGTCAAAAGGCAATTAAAAAAAAGGACCATCAAGAAACTCTGTCCAAAGGTGCATAGTTCAGTCCCAGTAACTGGACACGCCAGCTAAGTGCACAGCTATACACTGATTTTTTTTCAAAAACCGGACCTGACTCTGCAAAGCAATGTTCAAATTGTCTTGTTTACATTTTCTTAGTAATGCTGCATATGTGCACTACCTCTGAATGGTGCTAAGCAGAGAACATATCACGGAATAGCAGATATTTTTTAAGATCTCCATTTTTGCTTAGTAGCATTAGTTCCTTGTTTTGCTCCACTTACTTCAGACAAGTAGGATTAATTTTCCCCATTGTGTTAAATGTTTGGGAACAATGAAGGGAGTTTTGTGTTAGATCCTGGAGTCGGTTCAGGCCACCTACGCCGTTTC